AGACATTTTGAAGTGTGAAAAATATCTCATGATATTCATCATACGCCGATTTTAGATTTAAATCATTTTCGTCATTTAAAGAATTGAAAATTAAAAAAATACCGTATTATTTTGCTTCAAGGTGATCAATATGGGATATTTAGTCTGTATCCTAGTTATAGGTACTTACTTTTAAATGCTGGTTTATTATGATTTTATGATAATAATTTTAGTATTGTTCCTTAAAATATCTGAATAATCAACAATATAATAATAATTAAGTATTAATATAGTTGGAAATATGTAAATATGTTAATAAATAATATTCAATCAAAGAATGTTTTCAGGTGATTGCAAAATGTGCCCACTGTAAACTAAACTGGTAGTAAAACTAGTGTAGTAGAAGACTGTGCTCGGCATTTTCGGTTTCTAAAATAGGTATAGTATCTTGTACCCAAATTATCTATAAGTGACCTTAAATTCATGGATATCTATTCTTAACATTTCTGTACATTTATTGGTATGTAAACCGAAATTGTATCGCCTTAATCGTTATGGTAGGTATTACTCATAAAAATTGTTTATACATCATACAATTTTTTAACAAACTAATTAAATCATTCCTTTAAAATTCTTTAAATAAAAATTTTATTTTTCCATTTTTTATTAATTTACTTGTTTGTTTTAATCAAACCAAAAAATCATTTTTGGAGGACAGTGATAGTTGGTTCCTCGTGGTAGCTACGATAAAAATAATATTTCTTATAAATTTATACTGCTGGGCGCAATTTACGTTTGTGCATTTTATGATAGAGGTTTCTAAAACTCGCTAACTGATAAAAAATATTTTTGTGGCTAATGATATTATGCAAAGTGTGAACATTGCGCAACACGTAAATGTTATCTTGAAATAATAAATAAATGAGTTTATTAACCGTGATAGCGTTTATGTAACTTGTATAAATCATCACGTCTGAACAATGTGATGGTCCAATTTTGACTGAAGTAATGTTTGTTTTAATCGTGGTACCTACCTAAATTAGTTTATAGTGGCTTTACAGTATTTAAGTTTTGTTTATTTTATAAAAAAAAGATTTATTGCTCCTTTGAATCACGAAATTTGTTCCATATAATATAATATATAGGTATTTATCTCGGTGTTTATTCAAATTTTATATGGCTTTGGAGTTTACAGAATTACAGATTATGAAAAAACGTTTCGTTATATTTTGATAATATTAATTGTTATAATAAATACTTATTAATAACCATTGTTTGTCTTTCAGTTGTGCTGTTAAACAGATTAAGATTTTTATTTTTATATGTCTTAAAAACTGTACTAAAAAATAACCACATAATAAAAACAAATTATAAAATACCATATTTACTAACAATTTATTGCATTCTAATTTACATTATCAATTATCCATTTGGGCATACGGTATGCAGATCTGGGGGTGTGCTTAACCTTCTCAAGTCCGCACTATCCAAGCTTCCCAGTCCATCAATCTCCAGCTAATAGCCTCGGCCCCTTGGTACGTAACAAATAAAACCCTACACAAAGATCTAAGAATCCCAACAGTTGACAAACCAGCTAAATTGTACTATGACAGATTTCACTCTAAACTGCAACACCATCCCAATCCTTAAGTATTTCACCTAGCATCACGTACCATTCCTGACAACCCACCTCGCCGACTCAAAGGAAATTGGTGCTGTGACCTATTAAGTTAATAAATAAAAAAAAATTTCTGGAGGGTACCATCGCTAGATGATTACCCACATCTTGTGCTTTATGTGTTATTTTATTATGTATGTTGTGTTATGTCATCTTTTTTACTTATTGTGTTATGAAATACGGATTGTAAATTTTCTATTTAATAAAAAAAAAATCTTCAATGAAAATATTAAACGATATGAAGTATGAAATACCTATTGTATACATATTATATTAATTGCTGGATTATTGCATTTTAAGTTTAATAATGTCGATTATAAGATTTGAATGAAATGGTATATTTAATATTTTGACAGCGATTTTTGTCTTTTATTTTTTGGTTCTCATTAATAAGTCTGCATTATTTTTTTCTATTGATTGTTTTTGTGGTTGTGTAAAAAGTTGTTGTAACTTGTTGCTCGTGATAAATTTAAATTAATCCTTCCGTCTATTATTATACCTAATAATTTTTATATTATCTAAATATCCGTTTTAATTTAATTCCATTCAGAATCGTTTCTTATTAATTCGACGATTTATTATAAATTAATAATTTTAAACTCAATACCTACTAAATATCATCAGTATCCTGCGCCGAGAGAAGTATCTTAGGTTAGGTTAGTCCAGCTTCTGTATGTTTTTATTTTCTTATATATCCTTAAAAACATTTATTGGTCAAGTATTCTTAATAGTGATTAGTGATTCATATTTCACCTGTTTATATAATAGGTACCTAGTTAAATATAGTCATATGTAATTTTTTTAATATCTACGCAACATTTAAGTTTTTGGTTTCACATAGTATCAATGAGGTTATCGAAGGTTATAAAATTCACTATCAGTAGGGTTAGGATTTATATATATTTATATAACCAAAGTATGTCTTTATACCACAAAACTATGTACATAAATATGTGTTAAACAGTTTAAAATATATTTTGTCCATTAAAAAAAAAAAAATTAATAACAATAAAATTAATTTAAAATAATGATTATTTACCTAATTATTTTGGTTGTAATTTATAACATCATGCATTTTTAAATTTTCAAATTCAAAGTATCGCCGATTCTGTTGTTAAATTGCTTTAAACTGTATTTATACGTACATTCATGTGTCAAAAATACGTCGGGTGGACGCCGCCGAACTGCTCGCGACAATATTATACTACTAAAGTCGTAAACTATGAAGTATATTGGCATTTGGCTTACTTATGATAAACCTTAAATCTCTCTGAACTTTGAAAAAAACACGTTAAGACAGTACAATTTTCTAAATATGTGAGAAAAAATTGAATAAGTATGAAGTATGAAAAACATATAACATTGAATATAGCTAATTTTATCATAAATCTTGTGAAATGAATTTATCACTTGCCAAAATTAGTTTATGTCATAGTGAAAATATGTATCTACATATAAATCCTAGCCCTAAGTATCAGTAAATGTTTTAAAGTTCGTATAATATATTTTTTACTTAAATCTATTACCTAGTATAATCAATTGGCCGGAACTCATAATATATAGGTATGTAAATAGATTGGATTTGCCCAGATGTGTGTGATGATTTTATACGCCCTTGACATATAATACCAACAGTTCCAATGAACGATCATTTTCATTATTGTTTTGCTCAATGTCTACTTTTGTTGTGCATAACGTATGTATGTATATACATATATATTTATAGTATTCTCTAATTACTCTAGTATTCAAGGTTGTTCTTCCAATTCGTTCAAACGTTAAATACTTCATTGTTCGTTGTTCGGCTTCGGAGATCTCGTAATTTATTTGAGTTAGAATAACAGTTTTATAATTGCTCGTCTAATTTTTACATATTATTACTGTCACTAATTTATTAAAATCATTTAATATTCAACTTTAATATGAATTTCTATATTTATGAATCAAACATAGTAGATAATTTTTGTTTGAAATGTTTTGCACCCGTTAATAATAACCTAGCTAGTTTGTATACACATTGTGCATTGCCGGAAATAAATTATCAATTCAACTTAGTTCAAGCAACAGGTTACAGTTACAGATTATTTTATTTTATTAGCTAGATTATAATACGTACATTTCAAACCTATACTTATTAGAACATCGCATTTTTCTATTCGATGGTTTTCGAAATATCATATAATACATATCATAGCAAAATATCGCACTCTTGTATAGAAGGCATCTATTATCAGTGTATTTGGTCATTGAGTAGTAGGTCACTGTTAGGAATCATGAATGTGTTAAATTTAAATTTAACAATATTATCATCGCACACGAATAACGATGTTTAGTGTAAGGGTGGGCCTGCCTATATGTTAAAAGATATCTTACAATTTATTTCTACTTATATTAGGTAGTAGATAGTTTTTCTATTAGTTAGTTTGGTCTTGAGGTTGTCCAAGTTTTTATAAGTGTAGTATTTTTTATTATTATTATTATTATTATTATTATTATTATTATTGTTGTTGTTGTTGTTGTTGTTGTTTGTTAGAGTAAATTCTCGGTAAATTATTAGTCAATACTACGTACAATATAAACTTCTTACACTCATATCAATTTACGTGGCTTTACTCGAAACTCTTTTTTTAAATGTAACTAACGACTTATGAGTAAACTTGTATTTTTTAACCTACAAGCAATTAATAATTAAAATTAAATTTTTAAGCATTTTCTCCTACAAAATAATTTTTAGGTTTATAAAAAAATTGTGACTGTATTTTTGGGTCTTATAATTGCGTTTAAAAAACTTTTGAAGTACCTACTTCATGTAACGTAATATTTATTTTACTTGAAAAAAATCCATATTATTATAAATCCAATACATTCATCGTCCCCACTTGAAATTTAAAATGCAATGTAATCAAACGGTAAGTACATACAATATGAAGTTTTGAATCCTGACTATTTGGTATTTTTGCTTAGATTATAAATTCGTCGCTTTGAATTATTTTTCAAATCAATCATAGCTTTCATGCCTAATTCAAAAATCAGCATTTTTTCAATCATATATTATTTATTAACTACATTAAAATTGTATTGTAGGGAACAGTAGGTCAGTAGGTATATTTATCATTTAATACAATAATATATTGTTGTATAATATCATATTGACTTTACGATAGCCTAATGCCGTAGCCAGTAATTTATGTTTGAAAACTATATATTTACAACAATACAATGTATTGTACTTACACATTATGTAATATTGTTGTATATGTGTACAAGTTATTAATGATAAAAAAAGTACAAATATTTGGTATAATATCTAGGAAATAATAATTTATATTTTATTTTGTTACAGGTAAATTACTATGGACGCTGGGTTTAAAGAAGAGCGGCCTCCTCATCCTAGAGCCAAAGCCAACATTTTTGAAATCCTCACATTTGGGTAATTTATATTATAAATAAATTATCCATAAATAGTTTTACCCTAAATAACTATTAGGTGTACAGCTTAAATCCCAGTTCCATCTATTTTTAATTTATATCAGTCGAAACTGTTTAAATGGTGAATATTTTGAAATACAAAAACGTGTACACTTACGTTCTCCTGGTATACTTACTAACTTTTAGTGTGCTTAATGTTAACAATTAACTGTCTTTTTTTAAATGTGCTGTTTTTTTTTTTTTTGATCAAAAACACAATAAGAATAAAATATAAATTTTAAAATGTACGGAACAAGAAATACGTAGATAAGATTTTGCTAAATGACACGCACGTGCAACATATTTATTTTATCTTTTTTAAAAAATTAAATTATTTCCGTATAAGAATGAAATAGGTGTAAAATTAATAAAAAAACAAAATATTTGTAATGTCAAGTGTACCTCTGCACCTTTGATCATTACTTGTAAAAGGTCTTTTAAGATCTATGCTCTGCACAATATTATTCCTATTGAAATACATATCTCTATTAGAAGTGCACCATAATTAACAATTGTTATTAACTACTGAAAGGCTATTTGAACTTTAAACTATTTTATTAGGTATTAATCGCTTCGTCGCCCCCTTAACGGCCTTAACTAATATGTAGATAATATTTGCCGAGAAAAAAGGTGGAATTATATCATATTTACTTGTATACCTGATACTGGCATTATAGACATGTTTAATTATAGTATTATTATAATAATTATTTATTTTATTTTCTGAGACAATTGAGACAATTTTGACTAAATCACATAAATGTACGACGCAGCAGGGAAAACGTATCTTTAAAAATGAAGTAAATTTGTTGCACTGTTACAGTAACGCGTTACTTTGTATGTGATTACCCAACACACTCGAATACCTTTATTTATTTTTAAATATTTGCTTTTTTATATTATATTAATTTAGTATTTTAAATCAAAGTAATGTGCATAATATAAACCCAATGGCCATGACATAAAGTGCAGAGTACAGAGTATTGAGTTTTTACTACCTACTTAAATACCTAAGGTATTTATTTTATATTGTGTTTAGCTTACTACAGTTGGGAGTTCTAAAAAATATTTCACTTTAAAGTGTGATCTCTCAATATCTCTCTAATTTATCTTTAAATTACTTTATTTCATGGTACAACAATATTTTATTATATAATGTCAAATTAAATAGGTAAATTTCAGTTTATAAAAAATTAAATCTTAAAAAAAAAATTTAGACGTCTCAATATGTCCAAAAATAAAAATCACTGTACAATTATTATACTTCAATTTTTATTTTATTGTATTAGAATACAATTCATTCATTTTAAGTTTAACATACTGAATTATAGTTAAAAGTCGTATAGCAATGGCTTATTTTTGTCACATATTATAGTAACGTATAAATTGGCTTAAAAAACATAAAAATGTATATATTAAGCAGTCAACTTGTATCTTGAATATATTACTTGTTAACTCCAACCTAGTTAAATAATGTAAATAGTAATATAAATGTATTTCATAGTTAAATTATATTAAGTACCAATTTATTTATTTTATTCAGGTGGACTTTAAAACTCTTCAAAACTGGACGAAAAAGAGATTTAGAAGTAAATGATTTATATACAACACTAAATGATCATTCTTCAGCATCATTAGGAAATGAATTAGAAAAGTAAATTTACATACAAATCAAATTTATGAATTTAATCAAATTTATTTATATTTATTTTGTTTTTAAGGAAATGGAGAATAGAATTAGGTAAAGCAAAACAGTCAAATCGACAGCCTAGTCTATTAAGAGCTTTACTTCAAATGTTTGGACCAAAATTGATGTTATATGGATTTTTACTTTCAATTGTTGAAATTGTATTAAGGTAAGAATTTATAAAACTTTGAATAGTTGTTAAGTGCTTGATTGTTTAGTTCTTTTTAAAAATTGAAATATATTTGTTAGTTTAATATTAAGTTTATAAATAATACGACCATTAAAAAAAAATTAGAAATAATTGTTATACTAAACCAAACTATTAACCGCTGCACACAAATGTGCCCCAAAATCCCTTTTTCACATGAATTACATTCCCATGATATTTAGCTACTAAACAGCTTATCAATAGCAAATTATTTTTATTTTTAGGTTAAAAATAATGACTTGTAGTTGTTATGCAATTATAAATAAGTAAATTAAATTAATAGTTTACTAAATGTAATATAAAATTATAAAAAAAAAGATGTAAACATAAAATAAACAAAATTAAAATACTGGTAAAAACTTAAACTATACCTTTTCAATGTAATCTAACCATTTTCATATTTTGTCTCAACAAATCTTCCTTTTTACACACCATCCGTTTGTTTTAAATTATACAGATACTACAAGAGTGCCAAATACTAAGTTGTTTAATATACCTAGGTTATAACTAACCTATGTTTCTTTTTGTACATTTTTTAATGGACACAATTTATGTAGTCTATTGGATAGAGCCAAACTCAATTCATGTACCCACTTATCGATGGTTTCATTTTGGGACAAAATTCTTGTGCAGCCCTTTTATTTATAAGAGTATTATCACTCAAGGGTTTAAGACCTATTTAGGTAAGAGATACATTATTCTTAGATGAACACAATTGTATCTTGATAGTTATAAAATAAATCTAACTTTTATATTTTAATATAAATATTAAACATATATGTTTTGTTTTATTAAAGATAAATAAACATTTGCAACAACTACTAGTCGACCTTAAATAAGTTTATGTGACAGAATTTTAAATTATTATTTATTTAGGAATGGTTATGTTAGGTTAGATTTAATTTGCACATATGTGAATAAAAATAAGAAAATAAAATTAAGTTTTATGAGCTTTTTGTTACCTGAAAGAATAATAATTTAATTCAAGGTTATTGATTTGTATTATTATGTCAATGAATCTGAAGTTGATTATTTCCTAGATTAACTATACATGTATAATGGTGATATAGAAATTTATAAAAATAAATTCTTAAGATTTATATAATTTATGTATGTTTGAAAGTGATTCATTAATAGTTACCTATTTCTAAGTATAACTTTTAATTTGAAGAGTACCTACTTTGATTTCTATGATTTGTCATTTTAGTCTTTCATATAGATTTAAATGTAGTGATATTGTTTTTCAAAAGGTACACTTTTGTAATAGTAATATTAACTATAAATACCATAAATTATAAAAATATTTCATGGCTAAAAATGAATATAAAGTAAAATAAATATTGTAGAAGTACTTATAGCACTGTTTTCTAAATATGTAGAAATTATGTTAGTAATAGAATAAAATGCATGGTTCATTTTAAAAAGCACTATAGTTTTGAAAATGAAGGTATTAAAATATTTTATTTTTAAACACTATTCTTTTAATGAACGTGTTGAAAACGAAAAACTGTTATAACATGCGTTTAAAAATGTTATTTTTGTTTGAACAATTAGTGTAAGAAATAGTAAAAATAAAAATGTCTAAAAGTAAAACCTTTGTATGAATTCATCCCGTAGGTATATGTATGAAACACATACAAACTAATCTTTATTGTAATTTGTAATGGATGTGTTCAATTTGAATTCAAAGTTGATTAATAAATCATTACAAATGTTATTATTATTTATACAAAATACAATATTCTGAGCAAAAGAGATGTGTGGATCAGCTTCTGTTAAGAGAACTCTTCACCTGCATGTGTTGTGTCTGTCTTACAAATGTACAACATAGTAAAAATTGTTTTGCTCGGGACTAGAAAACTTCCTCCGTATTTATAGTAGGATTAACAAAATGCCACAACGCATCTGTGTTTTATCGTTTTTATTTTTTTGATAGCACTAACTAATAATTTTTAATAATTTAACGAAAAATACATATAAACCTAATGTTCCAAAATCCAAATTATACATATGCATACAGATAAAGTTATTTCCTATGCTATGTGGAATCTTGGTAAGTCTTTTATAAATGCAGAGGGAATAAACTTGTCCCAAACAAAACGGTTTTTGCTATTTTGTACATTTGTAAGAAGGAGACAGCACATGCTGGTTTTATGTCTTGTTAATAACTGTAGATACTTGAAATTGTTACCAAATGTTTATGTACATATTTACTACATAAAATGATATAATTAAAAACAACAATTTAATTATTTTTCATCTATTTATAGATATTTGAGTCTTTAACTTTCTAAAAACTTCTTCTTAATTTCCAATAGCACTTAGTTTTTGTTTCTGTGTCAAAGAGCTCTTCACTAACTATTCTTACAGCTGATAAAAAATATGAAAAATACAATTTTACAATTATTTTTGTTTAAGGGGTTGACAATCATATTTTACAAATTTGTTAAAACAAACATTTTAAATTAATTAATACCATTTTATCTAAGGCTTGAAGATTTAAATATAAAGTGATTCCTCATTCATTTTTCCTATAATTATTTAAGAATTTCAAAAATGCCACACTTAAGTTAAAAATGATTAAACCTATACTGAATTAAGGGTGTCGAAGCTGGCGTGTTTTTAGTAAGAAAACATGTTGCAGGAAAATCTATCACACTCTGTAGAAAAGTGTGATTTTTGTTTTAAAAGAAGAGGATATTTTGGAGGTTGGATGAAAGCCCGTTCTTCTAAATTATATTTATAGAACCTAAAATATGCATTTGAGTAATGCACAATATTTGTTATTTTTCAGACTTATTTTTCTAGCACTTTTTAAAGTAAAATGAAAATTTTAGCTTTGATCCAACCTAAAAAAACTTCTTATCTTTAAAAAAAAAAGATCAAAATTTGATAAATCTAAGAAGTCATTTTTGCTGATATAATGCACAGTATCACCTCCCCCCTCTAAATACCTTGGTATCAAGCAGTAGATTAGTGGAAAAGTTGTATAATAAATGTAGCAAATAAAATACAAAATATAATTTTCAAATTGTTTAAAAAGGTTATAAAATTAGAAAAACCGGCACCAACACCCTTAACCATAAGAAAATATTAAAAATAATTGAAATATAATATATTTGTTAGCAACAAAAACTATTTTTTAGGAATAAACTGTGTTTCACCTGTGTTATTAGCTCAATTTTTTTTGTATACTGTGATATTATATGATTTTAATCATGTTTTGGAAAAAAATTGAATTCTCTTTTGCATGGACATGTTTGTTTTAATCTGTTATGTTTGGAAAAGTGCATATATTTTTAATTTATATAAATGTTTATTATTCTTTGTAATATTTTGTTAATGTGTGTTTACATTTATAACCTTTAAATTGTGTATTTATAGTTTAAAGTTCTTGTAAACTGTATTTCTGTGAGATAACACTACATTGCAATTATAGTATTAATATCCATTATCCTCAATTATGGAAAATTATTCTTTTTTATGAATATAGTGTAAACAATTTTATGATACATAATAATTACACTTGTGGATAATAAAAAGAACCTGTACTATATTGTTTTATAATTTATTGAAGTATAAATGCATTTAAGTAGTTGAATAATTTTATTTATTAAACAATTATTATTTGGAGATTGAAATTATTTATTTGTAGTATGAGTTACAGAAAGTATTATAAAGAAGCATATATTAAGTATTTCCATAAATGAGCTTAGATCATTAACATTACAGTTACACACAGTTAAATATTTCATATTGCCTCAGTAAATGAAGCTAGATATATAATTGTAAAACGCATACAAAGTTATTATGACTGTCAACTACAAAATAAAAACAATTAGGTTAAAACTACCTTTTGTCCATTTTTAATTATAAAAACAAAGTGTTCTGCAAAACATTTTTCTTTATACATAGTTGAATTATAGCTAGATCTTCCATAAGTATTTAATATGTACTTATATATTAGCATTATTGTCTATACCCAAACTTCAAAGGGGAATCAATGATTTCTTTATACTATATTTTTATGTGATAGTGACTGCCAGATTTATTTTTGGAGGTAATAATTTTTTTAATATGGTAACTCATTTTTAATAAATTTAAATATATTTTTAGATCACTAGCTGAGAGTAGTCTTTACAGTGACCTAGAGTTTTTTTTATTATTGTGGAGGGAGAATAAAAAGATAAATTTGTAAAAATCTAAAATCTAAAAAGCCACCAAAGAAAATATCAGAATTGTTTTTTTAATTAGTTAATATTTTGAACTTAAATAGTATGTCAAAAGTTATAATGAACTAATAATCCAATATGAAATGTAACTGATGGCTTACTTCTTTTTCTTGAAGCTCAAGACTTGTATTTTATTTTAGCTCATTCTTTTTGTATATAAAGATTTTCATAGGTATTGTATAATTATTAATGATGTTCTTATTTTAACATATATTTTATTTTATTTATATTTGGCTTCTATAATAACTAAAATTTAATTATAATAATATCCATGTTGACTTAATAATGTTTTGCATTAGCTATAATACAAGAATATAGTACATTATTAGCAATCTCATTTACCTAACCATTATATAATTTATCTATTTATTATTACAGTCACCATTCATAAATAATTATTTAATAAATAGTTGAGTAAATAATATGATACCTATTGCATTTATGTATTATCTATTTTTACTATTGTTATTTAAACCAATTTCAAAATTGACTTTAGTATTACTTTTTCAGATATTAATATTTTTGGGCTCGAAACCATTTAATAATTAATAGTGTACATGTACCTATATTATTATCATCAGTATAATTATATTTTAATGTACATTAATGCCTGTTGTACAATGATCATTTATTAGATTTTTTTAGTGCCTGTGTATTTTTTTTAAATATTTAATTTTTATGCTTACTTATTCATTTTTATGCCATTATCTCTACAATATACAATATATAAATAATGTTAAAATTACATTGATCTTTTACAACTAATTTTATTTTGGTTTTATTTTCAAAAATCAAATAATAGAATACATATTTTATAAGTTATGTGTGATGTTCAAAATTAATTTATTCTTAACATATTTATTAACTTGAGAACTATAATAACACATTTTTATTTATTTAAATATGGTGTACTCTCAAAGTGTGCTACCTACCAAAAAACTATACGCGTGTATTTATTTACCAAAAATGGAGTATGCTACCTACTAATTAATTACAATTTATCAAACTACAACTTCCTCAATGAATTGCAGATAATCATCATTGCCAAGTATTTTAAAATGTTAAACACTGCTATAACAAAAATAATATTTGTTATCACGTGGTTTTTATGTCAGCCCAGAAAAAAAGTAAATTGTTGTCTTGAAGAATATTTACCAGTTATAATATTGTGTGACCGTTAATGTTGTATATCATAATGACCCAGGGTTCAGGTACTTTCTCATAATTAATAAAATGGAAGTATGACATTTATAAGAATATTACAGGTATGTCATATTTTCCTGTAGGTAGCACACTTAATGAGTACTTTACATTTTTTACTTTTATCTTTAATCTTTTTTTAGATTTTTATAATATCTAATTAATTGTTTTTTAATAATTTATTGAATTGCAAATTTTCATAGGCAGGTAGGACTAAACGAGCATTTCCATTTAAATTAATTTGTGTTTACATATTGAACGGGAGTTGAATTTTATAACCAGTTCTTTGTGTTTTATTTGATTTATTTTAAACTTTATGGAAAACATTATTAGGGACTAGAATTAAGTTTGATATTTATTTTTAATTATTTGTTAACTACATTTGATTGTAACTTCAACAATATTATGCTTTATTTTATTGTAAAAAATATATCATAATATTAGGTCCCTGTGTTTGGAATTTTATAATAAAACTGAAATGTATCAATTATTTTGCAAAATGCATTGTTTAAAAATTAGTTGTTTAAAAGTAGGCATTATATTTTTGTTTTTATCATTTTATTCTATTCCTAAAGAACCAATTTTTCTTAGATTTCTGAATACTGGTAAACAGATATTTTTTTTATTCATCTGTGTTACCCTTGTATTGGTTGTTCAGGATGATTCAACCCATATCTATTGGTTACCTGATTGGTCATTTTGATTCACCACCGACTACTGACTTGTATACAGCAACTGTGGCTGCAATTGCATTGCTGTTATCTACATTGTTGTGCACAATTGGAATGCACCAACATATGCTTGGTCAAGTTGAAATCGGTTTTAAAATACGTGTTGCTGTAACCACTATTATCTACTCAAAGGTACACTCAACCAATAAAAAAATCTGTCAAAATTAAAAAAAAATAGTGATATTAAATAGAATTAATAAAATTGAAGATTGATCTTTGATTTGGTGAATTCTTAAGTTCTTTATCATTGTAGTTTCTGATGGTTATATGTATATATAATATATATATATATATAGCAGTCTTATATTACATAGCATTGTAGTTGATGTTGTGATCTTTGCTTATTTTGTTGACTTTATAGTTTTTTCCATCTTCTCTTTACTTTGCATTTTTAACAATAAATTAAAATAAGCTTGTAAACATTTGTATTTACTTCATGCACAAATACTGTTATTTGTCATACTAGATGAGTAGAATACTTAATCTATGCTGTGCATTTTACAAAGTTTAATATAGTAAATTAATTAATCTATATTTTTGTTATTGCAATGATATCAATATGTGTTTGCATTAATCATTTTAATTTGTAACATACTAATATGACTTCTAATTGAATTTCATATTTTCAATTCAAAATGTATTTTTTAATAAAATATACTTCAAGTTGAATTTATTTTATTTGAGATTGTTAGTGTGTGTTAGTACAATACATTATTCATAAATATAAGTACCTATTCGTGATATTAAATGTTTTTAAGCATGATTTAGTTCATCATAATTATTTAAAATAATTATTTTTTACTTTATTTTCAGTAAGTTATGTATAAATTAATTATATATACATGCTATCATTTAGTAAGTGATTATATGAGTATAATATGATGATATTATAGTTTACAAAATATTAATATGATAAAAGTATAAACTAGAGACCAGAGAGAATATTATTCGAACCCAAGGATGGTTAGGTTTCACTCTTGGCCCTTAATACTTTTTTATGGTAATATTATTACTATACTTAATGAAATCTACAGTTAACAAAACATTATTTGTACATAATAGTGCCCTTCTATTTGATAGATATTATAACATTCATAGACTAATTTAACGAACAGTTTAATTTTAATAATAATAATTATTTGTATGTGGAAAATATTTAATTCCTTGTACTTTTTTTTAAAAAATAGTTTAAAATGTGTTGTAATTGTAGTATCTTTTAAGTTTAGTTTCTCTTATTTAAATACTAAAAACAATTGATTTAAATTTTAAATTGTTTATTTTATAGATAGTTATTCTTTTGTAACATTTTTTAGGCATATAGTGTATACATCAAATCCAGCCAGTACTTTATAAAGGAGTGGTTTTCTACAATTATTCTAATCCATAGTTATTAAAGAAAATTATGGTGTTGTATTTATGTGTATCGAAAAAATCCACATATATTTTTATTTTATTATAGATAATGATTGACAAATATTATAGTTAGACATTTTAAGTGGTAATATATTTAAATTATTTACAGATTAAAATTTTTAAACAGGTAAATACAAGCTTCTATAGATGTAGGTATACAATCAGCTTAAATATTACAACATTTATTGACAAAAATCAATAAATTGTTCATGGATAGTTCCAGTACTAGTGTCGTGCTAACTTTCATTGGTGCTCCACTTCAATAATATTTGGCACTCCTATTAAACAAACATATTTAAATATTTGCCTCCCCCCTCGGTACGACTATGTCCAATATCCATACAGTTTAATTAGTTTTATTATTTTATTTCTATGTATTTAGTTATAAAAAAAAATAGTTTATACCAGGATAATATGTCCTGGAATACAAGACCATTTGAAACAATTACCTTCTTTATTTTACTCAGGAGTAATCGAAAGAGTTTCACTTTTTAACAGTATAAATATATACCCCATTTAGAAATTCAAAATCTGACCTTTAATCATAATTTATAACTAATTTTTTATGTATATAATATATTATAATTAGTAATGTCTGATAAATATTGCTAACATAAAGTATAGTTTTTATGCTTTCATATATTTTTCAAATTTTAAATTTAATAATTTTCAAAATATTTGATTTTGTTTTATGCAATTTGCAATCATTTAAAACTTGAAATTGTATTTTAACTAAAATTGATATACTTTGAAAATCTTTACTCACAGTTTATTTTAATAAGTATTTAAAGTAGAAAAATAAAATAAACATTTACAAACTGAAGGTTGTTCAAAATAAACGTCTGTAATGAAAATCGCGTTTAAACTTGATACGATTATAAATTAATATTAATAGTGAAAACAGTTATTTTTTTGGGAAGACCCAGTCCGATCTGCCAATTCTAAACATTTTGACATTTGGCAAATAGGTTTTTAGAAATTAGATAATGGCTTTCTTCCCCCTCCTCCAAATAATGCTTCTGGTTATACTTAATAGCTAATAGTTGATATCTTATACTACAGCAGATAGGTTATATTTAATAGTTATTAACTATGTTTTAGATGTAAAATCGCATAAGTTTAAATTACAATTTCTATATATATTTTTAGAGTGATGTAATTAAAGAAAAATGTACTTCCCAAATAAAAATTCATTTTTTTTAAAGAGATTAACAATAAATTATACTTTTTACTTTAATATAAAATCAAGATGTTTAAAAGTACTGCATGCACACCCAAATATATGCTACTGATTATCTTATGAAATAATTAGATAATAAAATATATACTATTAGTATTAATATATAATAATTTCATATAATTTGTATTGGATTCCTATTTTTATAATATCAAATGCATTTTTAATTTTTTGCTTAAGAGGACGCCACACCGAAAGCGAAACGTATACAATGACCGAGAGAACGCGCTGTTAGGTGTTTTCGCGATGCGCAAGCACGCGACGTTTAAGCCCCGCCCACCACTCGTCGTCGGCGGCCGGCCGACGATTGTGCTCNGTTAAGTTTTTTTTAAAAAAAACGACGCTATGACACAGATAAACTTCTGATCTATATAGTGTGAACATTTGGTGTTCATACTATTACCACACGCTTCAAACACTGATCCCGCGCGAAACGTGTTTTCGGTAAAATATTTCGGGTGTGTGGCGTCCTCTTAATTAAGATATTTTAATTACACGTTTAGTAGTTTTTACTAATAATTTGTGTTGTGAAATGTAAGCATATTAATATACATAAACTCTGCAAATATTTGCAAAACAAGTTAATCTTAGGTGCATGAGTACTATATTCTTTTAATAAAAATAAAATAGCTGATTTAAGTTTATTAAAATAATTATGAAATTTGATTACAAACCCAAGTGAAAAAACTACAAAAGTTTAAAGTAAGCCGATTTTTAAATTTTACATAATACCATTTTAAAAATTAAATTAATAATGAATGTTATCTGTAATGGCTGTATCTAATGTTGAACATTATTTAGTTTATTTTTTTTGTTTCCTTATTAATAATAGTTACAAGTTAGAACTCAGCAAGGAAATTGGTTTTCAGTTATATTTTAGAAGAACATAATATTAAATATGTATGGGACATGACAAATCAGATATTTTTTTTAATTAACTGTGTTGATTATTAGAGAATATTTTTTGTGTTTGATATGACTTATATAGTGTATGCCAGCCGATCTTCTTGGGTCGTATAATCGCACAATTTGAACCAGACATACCATCAGATCAGTCTTCTCATCTTGGGATATTTTATGGGAGTTGCTTGTTGGGAGCCGTTGCGTTGAAGACTTTTGGTTTCACCGCCTACGATATGCTCACCACGCATATGGGCATGAAGATGCGCGTGTCTACGTGTTTTCTCATTTATAATAAGGTACCTTTGCGGTCCTTTTCACAATAACAGTATTTAATTAACCCAACACGAGTGTGATTGCTTAATGCATTTTCCTGGCAAACAAAAGATAGCATTTTAATCTAATTTTAAGTATAATTTAAATGTTAAAAAATAGATTATTTCTACATCTATTTTGTGTATTATACTTGGTTTCAATAACTAAAAACAACTTTTTTAATCTTAGTATTGACTGTAATTTTAATTTTAACTCTAGTAGATACCTTTTTTCAAGTTCATAAATCAGAGTTATTTCTTGTAATATATTTGCATTATTATTATTCCTTCAATCCAAAAATAACTATTATTTTTAGTATGGAGATTTAAGTGGTTAAGACGGTGTTATTATTAGGCATGTGCTTAACTATTCCCATTGTTAATATAATCAATTAATGTTTTATTTATGTTGATGTTATTTGAGTTAAGTTACTTAGACTCTTTTTAATGAAGAGTCATAAACTATTTATTTGACTAGTTAATTCTAATCAATAAAATGTAATATGACGCTTAAGTGTGTCCTAAACTTAAATAAATTTCAGTTTAGATCAATAAATAGTTATTAACATTATAATATGAACATTTTATAAGCTAGATTTTCATAAATCTAATTTTGCACTTAACTATTATTATTATTATTATTTATAATTTGTATATAATTTTATTGTGTACAAATAATAATAATATTAATAATAATTCTACTGAAATAAGGTGATATTATTATTGTTCTTGAATAATTATTAAATGTATATTATATTTAATCAGAAATATCTATAATTTCTATTTTAATACTGGATTACGAATATAATATTTATAATTCAGAATATGTACACTAGTTACAAAATATAATAAATATTATAACACATCCTGTGTGCAACAATTCAAAATATCATAATCAAAATTTATTATTCATTTCAATGTATAAACAATTTTTTTCTAAATTGAACTATCTACACCAAAATGTTTCATTGTAGGTTATTATTAGTACAAAATAATAAGCTTCTGTAATGTTATCTTTTGCTGGTCAACTTGCTATATTGCTATATATTTTTAAAAAAAATTTTCTTTTGCTATTACATTAGTTTAGTTTTTCTTAATATTTTTTTGTATTTTGTGCTTTTTTAACATGTGTGAAAACTAATTTTTTGGTTGGCTATTAGACTATAGACAATAAAACAATAAATAAATAGTTAATTTAGTAACTATCTATCAGGTTGTGTAAATTATTATATTCACATCTATAATGTAGTATAATTGAACTTATCATACTGAATTCAAATACTCTATAGTTAGTAGTAGTCATAGTCATTTTGTTATATTTAATAAAATAATCAAAACAATTATAGTAACTATATAAGTTAATTAAAATACTGTATTTTAGTAAGAAAATAATATTTGGGATTTAATTAATTTACCGACTTTTAATGTTGGAATATATATTTAAGATTTATTATGACACAGTGTAGTTTTATTCATATTTGTATATATGTATATTGTAATTTATTGGCAACTATACTTAAATATAAAATTAGTTAAGTATAAAAACTGAAAACTAAAAACAATTATCTACATACCCATTATTATAGTTTCATAAGTAAACCAAAACCTACCTAATATAATCATAACCTAATTAACAAAATTTTTTTAAAAAAAGGTTTGAAATGTTTGTTTTTTATGGGTCCTGTTGTTACCCATAATATTAAATAACACAGAAGTAGTTTTTGTGTACTAAGTAATGTAAATTGTAAATATACCATTAGATAACACATGTCATTTCATGATCAAATACTTGTATGATTATTTAATACTTCTTATACATCTAATAAATCTCATAATTGTGTTTTTGCCTTTTTATTTTGTATAACAAGATTTTAGGATATGTATTTGTGCAGTGGTGGTTTTGAGATGTGGTGGGTACTTCCCCTCCCCTCCCCTTGGACTTGGATAATTCCTTTCAATATGTAAATATAAAAAAATTAATATTTATGGTAGTTTTAAATTTTAAAATATAACCTAAGTACCAACTAAGTATTCTTGGAAACTCTTTGATATGTAGACAATAACAATTTTTTGGTCCAGGGTTTTAAATTTGGGGCTAATACTCCTCTACAGAAATATTGTCAAAACCGCTTCTGTACTTCTGTTATACACCCTTTCACTTTGGTTCTTACTTACGAATAGCTTGGTCTGTTTAGTACCTAAAATTAAAATGTGTATGTGACCAAGTAACTGTTTCAAGACTGACAGACATTTACACTGATTTATATTAATTATTTGATAAACGAATGTACAACAGCATAATATTGATTTACTCTATGCAATTTAAAGGCTAGATAATTGATCAATGCATGTTGGTATACTTAAATGTTTTACATATTTTTATTTTTTTATTCAGTAAGTAAAAAAGGAGAATTATGTATGAATTGTTTGAATCTAGATGCTTAGGTTATTATTATTTAGGTTGACAATTTAAAATATTGTACTACATATTTATTATTTATGTAAAACATATTTAGGTTCATACATTTGCTTATTTTATTTTTGTTTATGTTTTTATGTACAATAAAATGAGAAATGTGTTTATATGTATGTATCTATATGTGTGTGTGTTGTATGTGTGTACCTATGTAGAATGTCTCAGCCTCTGCTCATCGGCGGACTGTTAGCATATTTCGACCCTGATGAGTCTAGACACACCAACTTGAGACATGCATATATTTATGCATCTGGTTTGGTGTTAAGCATGTTTGCTACTCTGGTCTTGTATCATTCAACACAATTAGAAATCATACATTGTGGGATGAAGATGCGAGTTGCCTGCTGTTCAACAATATTTTACAAGGTATATAAACGTGTAACAAAACTGAGTTTTTTTTTATTAATTTGACCTTATGAGTTCTTTGAAAGCTTTCGAAGGAACACATCTTGTTCTATTTCCGATTACTTACTCAATATTAATTATACATTATTTATAGTTAATGTATCATTATTATTCATACATATATTAAGCAATATTATAATATAATTTTTATGATGACGAGTAATCCCATGTTTATTATCTTAATCTAATTAGCTAAATATATGTACTATATAGGTTATTTGTGTCGATGTTATTACACATGAACTATTTGTTTTGTAATAATCAATAATTAAAATTAAGATAACCTAAGTCCTAAAACATGATAATGTGGAGGAATATAAATAATTTTACAGTTAAAACTGTTCATTATTAAGTCTATTATTACAGGCCTAGTTGTTATAATAATAGTTACCTAATGGATGTTATTTATTTTTTAGCTTATTAGTTTTATTGCTTATCATTTTTTATTATGTGTTTATTTCCTACTGTTTCTTGATTTTCATAGGCCCATCTGTTAATATGGTATATGAATTATGAACAAACACAATTTCCTAAACTATGTAAAACAATGACATTTGATACAGGATCAAAATAATATTATAGCATGTGATTAATCATGTAGGTACCCTACACCATTTATAATTGTATTATTATATAAATCCAACATTGTTCTATTATTTTAAAACTAATTCTGACTAATGATAAAACTCAATGATGAATAAATTATATTTAATGCATACATATTACGGTACTTGTTTGTTATCGCCCCGCCAGTACGACGTTAAAAATTTATCTCCCCGCCACTCTTGTTTGCTATCGCCCTGCCATATAGTTATTTGTGCGTAGGAAAAATAATGCTGGACGTATTCTGCCACAGCAATAGATTTTCGGTGGGATATGTCGGGAAACCAAAGCGTGTTTTATAGTGAGTACCTGATTGATCGGAGAAAACATTGCTACCTATAATACAAAAATATATAAGACCAGGCTAAATAATTATGTCGGATTGTTGGAAAGCTTACAATAATTTGCTGCAAGCAGGATTCAAATATAATACTGTTAACCACACGTATAATTTTGTTGATCCGGATACCGGGGCACAAACCCAAAACATCGAGAGGTTGTGGGGATCTGCTAAATGGGGAAATAAAAAGTGTCGTGGAACTAATAGAACTTTTCTCGAATCAAATTTGGCAGAATTTATGTGGAGAACACGTCTCGGAAAAAATGATGCATTTGAAACAATATTAAAAGATATTTCTGAGTTCTGGCCTCCTTTGTAAATTTATATATTTTTTTTTTAATTTATAATTATAGTACATTTTTATATTTATTTTCTTATTGTTTATTTTATTATACTATAATATATTTTACTTATAGAGGGGTGATAACAAAGAAGTACCCATATTACTATATTACATCATATTTTTACCTGTTAGATTAAAATTATGTAATTGTTTCTAGTAAATTTAATCTATCTTGCGATTCTTCTATAATTCAATATTTTCATGCATTTTATCCTACATTAAAATAATTTAGTTTGTTTTAATTGAGTATTTATTTATTCAGTACTAATTAATTCAATTTGAATTGTAATTAAATATTTCCCTTCACTTAAAGCATCAAGCCTTGTAAATTGTATATGTATTACTTATTGTATTGTTTATATAGATTGTAAATATTTGTTGTTCTTAATAATAAGAAAAACTAAAAATTTTACCTATACCAACCTGTACAAAATAAAAAAAATGAAAACATGTTTGGATTACTCTTACTTATTACTATTTAAGCTTTTCTTCCATAGTGAAATATACTTTATATGAAACAATATGTACATACCTTAGACAAATTTGGTTTATGTGTCATTTTTTGTATATCTTACTAAATACTTAAGTATATTTTCTTAAGTATTTGTATATCTACGTATAAAGCATATGTACTACATATAGGAGTATTATGTGTCTTTTTTATTCAAATTGGTAAATAATAACTTCTATATTTTGGACTATGATACCTGAATATAATTATCCTTATTCTTCTTATATTTTTGGTTTTAAAAATTAATTTTCCTAAAATCTGAATAATTACCTAATTATAATTAAACATCCATTTTTCATATATATTTAAATTATATACTTCCCTGCAGTCTGCTTGCCAATATTTTCAAAAAGTTATTTCAATTTTAATTTGCATCAATTAAATGATATGTTTGTACATAAATTGTAAATTATTTGTGCATGCTAGTTTGAGCTTTGATAATATTTTAACGTAGAAAATAAAACGTTTGAATTTTTGCATGATTTGTATATTGGAGTTGTTGTTTGATTTGATTTAAAATATTATGTGTTGACTTATGAAATATTTATTAATTGTAGCCATATTCTTGCCAATATAAATATTATAAATAAGAACATTAAAAAAAGTATGACATTTCTTATGTATAGGCATTACGGCTAAGTAAAACTGCTCTTGGTGAAACCACAGTCGGTCAAGTAGTAAATTTATTATCAAATGATGTAAATCGATTTGATATAGCAGTAATATTTCTGCACTATCTATGGATCGGTCCCTTGGAAACGATTGTGGTCACATATTTTTTGTGGCAAGAAGTAGGAGTGTCATCAATATTTGGAGTAGGCGCATTACTTATGTTTATTCCTTTACAAGGTTTGTAAAATAATATCTTGAATACAATTATAATAGGTGCATTGATATAGGTTCCCTATTATGATGCTTAAAATATTTAACAATTAAAACAAATGTTCAAATCCTAGGCTGGTTGGGAAAAAAAACTTCAGAACTTCGACTGAAGACAGCTATCCGGACTGACGAGAGGGTTCGTTTGATGAATGAAATCATTTCTGGCATACAAGTAATTAAAATGTATACTTGGGAAAAACCTTTCGCCTACCTTGTACAATACGCTAGAAAGTATGTTCCTATTTACTTAATATATGCTGTGATTTTGTAAAAACCAAAAGAAAACATCTTGTTAAAACATATTATTTGTAATTTGTATTTTGTTATGTTAATAGGAAAGAAATTCAACAAATTAAGGGATCCTCTTACATCAGAGGTGTCTTGTTGTCATTCATAGTATTTCATACTAGAATTGCTTTGTTCTTCAGTATTTTGTCATATGTGCTGCTCGGAAATTTTATCACCGCCCAAAAAGTAAAAATGCTTGTAGACTGTAGTTGAAATAATAATAATTGTACTGGAATTAAAATAATACAATATTTGAACTACAAATACGTGCTTTTAGGTTTTTGTCATAACTTCATACTACAATATATTACGAACAACGATGACGGTGTTTTTCCCTCAAGGTATTGGACAAATTGCCGAGATGTTAATATCCATCAAACGCTTACAAGTATGAAATATTATCATATTTACTTTAAAAATGATAAATTTATACTCTTCAAATATATTTTAAATTATCATTTTATTTTTGTATTTTAGAATTTTCTACTGTATGAAGAAAAAAACACTCAAGTGGCAAACCGTTCAAAAGCTGACAAGGCTTCTAATGGTGTTAGAAAACCAATCATTATTAATGACAACAATATATCCCCATTGAATGATCAAAATGATCCTGATCAATTAGGCAATTTAGGCATAGTTGTTTCTAATGCTACTGCTAAGTGGACAGATGCTCAAACTGAAAATTCTTTAGAAAATATCAATCTAACCGTAAAACCCGGTAGATTAGTTGCTGTCATTGGTCCTGTAGGAGCCGGAAAAGTAAAATATACAAGAGCTATGAAAAATAATTTCAATTATAATGTTATAACATTTTAATAATTTATTACAGAGTTCATTGTTACATGCAATTTTACGAGAATTACCACTTTCCGAAGGAAATATTTCTGTGCGTGGTGTAGTATCTTATGCATCGCAAGAACCATGGTTATTTGCCGGATCAGTTCAACAAAACATTCTATTTGGTTTGCCAATGGACAAGGAACGTTATAGAAAAGTAATTAATAAGCAAAATGTTCTAATCCTTAGTATTAATTTGTATACATATATTTTGTAAACTAGGTTATAAAAGTATGTGCATTGAAAACAGATTTTGAACAATTTCCTTATGGTGATAGAACAATTGTAGGAGAAAGAGGAGTTTCACTCAGTGGTGGACAAAGAGCAAGAATTAATTTAGCTAGGTAAGTTATATAAGTTGATAACTAACTTCAAGCAAGTTCATAAAAAATAGCAATAAGAAGTTTTATAATATTAATTTGACTAAATATATGATTTTTTAGTAAGCTACTGTATGTTACTGTTAGTTGTGTTTGAAATGTTTCACCCTATTAAATGTAATTAGTGAATAATGTATGAATATTAGAGTAATTTTGTTTTTTGTTGTTTTTTTTTGAAAATTAAACTATCAGCTATAAATATGATCCTATATAACATTGATTTAAATTATTGTATTTTGATCTATTTGGGATAATTCAGAATTGTATACTTTTTTTTGTTACAGAGCTGTTTATAAACCAGCGGATATTTACTTATTGGATGATCCTTTATCTGCTGTTGACACTCATGTTGGCAAGCATCTATTTGAGATATGCATTAAAGGTAATTTTTAATACAATTTAAAGTTACTACTGTTATAATAATTATGTTTGTTTAGGCTATCTGAAAGAAAAGACTTGTATTCTTATTACTCATCAATTACAATATCTAACTAAAGTTGATCAAATTATTTTGATGGAAAATGCAAGTATTTCTTACTATTTACTATTTACTATTTAGTATTATTTAACATATGATTCTGTGATTTGTACATTTTTGAATTTTGATAACTAAGTAATTATAATAGGTAATATTATAATAATAATTATAGATGATGATTAATGAGTCTGTGTTTATATTTCTTAATAGGCAAATATATTAGCTGAAGGTTCATATCAGGAACTTCAATCTTCTGGTTTAGACTTTACAAAATTGCTCGGATCTTTAGTAGAAACCACTGTTGTATCAGATAATGAATCTAATTCTAAATATGAAAGTACCCATACATTAAGTCCTCGTACTATTTTATCAAGACAAGTTTCTATTCAAAGTGTTGCTTCATCCATTGATGAGAGCAAACTTGGAGCTCAGGAAGAACCAATCGAAGTAGCTGAAACTCGTTCATCTGGAAATATTTCACTTACTGTATACTCATCATATTTTTCTGCTGGTGGAAATGCTTGTAAAATTTCATTTTTATTATTTATGTGCGTTTTCACCCAAGTCTTAGCATCTGGTGGAGATTATTGGATAACATATTGGTACTGTGCAGCACTATTATTATCTTGGTATTTATTTTATTCAATTTCAAATTGATTTTATAGGGTCAATCTAGAAGAACTTGTTTTCCGTAATACAAGTAGTATAAACGATAATACATTGATAACCACAGATGATAATAGTACAACTACATCTACAACTAGTTTTATATCTGATCAATTGTTGTGGTGGACAATTTCACGGCAAACTTGTATCATAGTTTTTGCTGTCTTAACATTTTCTATGATATTGGCTACCCTTGTCAGGTCTGCTACATTTGTATCGGTTTGTATGAGAGCTTCTATGAATTTGCACAACAAGATGTTCAATGCTATAACCAGAGCCACAATGTATTTTTTCAACACAAATTCATCTGGTAAAAACTGTTTAAATGATTGCATTTTAATTAGGTATACTTTAATCATAGTTTTTTTATTCTAATAGGACGAATTCTTAATCGATTTTCAAAAGATATGGGCGCAATTGACGAAATGTTACCAGTAGCTTTAATGGATTGTATTCAAGTAATTTATTACATTAACTTACAATTCATATCTGAATTGTATGAAACCAAATTCTATGGATATATGTTTATTGTAGATTGGATTAACACTAATGGGAATTATCATTGTTGTTGGACTAGTGAACATTTATCTTATGATACCAACGTTCATAGTTGGAATTATTTTTTACAAAATTCGAGTTTTCTATTTATCGACTTCTCGAAGTGTCAAACGATTGGAAGGAGTTAGTAAGCACACACAACTTTTTTTATATCCATTATTTATACTATGAAACAATGTAGTATTATAACATTTTAATATTTTTTCTTTTGTAATAAAAACTAGCACGGAGCCCCGTATTTGCACATTTGAATGCATCTTTACAGGGCTTAACAACAATTAGAGCATTTGAAGCAGAACAAATTTTATCGAAAGAATTTGACAACCATCAAGTTAGTAAAAATAGCTATATTTTATTTCTGTCATTTAAATGTTAATTATTTAAATCATTTTAGGATTTACATTCTTCAGCATGGTATTTATTTATTTCTTCAAGTAGAGCATTTGGTTTTTGGTTGGATATAGTCTGCCTCATCTATATAAGCGTAGTAACATTCAGTTTCTTAATTATGGGCAGTAGTAAGTTATAAAATTAAATGAATCTTAAAATAATATAAATGTTAATATGTTTTAAATGTTATTTTATGTAATTTAATTTTAGATACATTTGGAGGAAATGTTGGTCTGGCTATTACTCAAGCAATTGGATTGACTGGCATGTTCCAATGGGGAATGAGGCAATCAGCTGAATTAGAAAATCAAATGACATCAGTTGAAAGAGTACTAGAATATACCAATGCCCCACAAGAAGCTGCTCTTGAATCACCTCCAGGTAATTTTTATTAAATGTAATAATCAAATGTAAATTAAATGATACTAAGTGGTATTTTGTAAATATTTGTTTATAGAGAAAAAACCATCAAAGGATTGGCCTCATAAAGGACAAATCATATTCAAAAACTTTTATTTACGTTATAGCCAAGATTCACCACATGTTTTGAAAGATCTCAATATTAAAATTGAATCAATGGAAAAAGTAATTTTGAGTACTAAATGATATTTTGAAACAATAATTAATGATCCTATTACATTTAGATCGGAATTGTTGGTAGGACTGGTGCTGGAAAGTCATCCTTGATAGGAGCATTGTTTAGATTAGCTGTAAATGAAGGTTCCATTTTTGTCGATGATTTAGACATTAATGATTTGGGACTACATGAACTTCGGTCCAAACTTTCCATCATTCCTCAGGAACCAGTTTTATTTTCGGGGACAATGCGAAAAAATTTAGATCCTTTTGATGAATATCCAGATCATGCTCTTTGGAATGCTTTGGACGAAGTAATGATCAATTTGTATATTTCTCTATCAAAATAATAATTCTATTAGTAATGCATAGGCTTGCAGTTACAAATCTCATATTAATTATTACACTGTTATTCAAGGTTGAACTTAAGGATGCAGTTGAAGATTTACCTGGTGGCCTAAACTCAAAAATGTCTGAAGGTGGTTCAAATTTCAGTGTTGGTCAAAGACAATTAGTGTGTTTGGCAAGAGCTATAGTGCGAAACAATAAAGTTCTAGTGTTAGATGAAGCCACTGCCAATGTTGATCCACAGTAATAAATAATAAATATATAACTAAACAACTATTGTTGTCTTACAATATCTACTTTAAGTTATCAGAATATATGAATTCTTTTTTTATTTTCACAGAACTGATGCATTGATTCAAAATACTATTCGAAATAAGTTCAAAATGTGTACAGTCTTAACAATCGCTCACCGTTTGAATACTGTTATGGATTCTGACAAGGTTCTTGTAATGGATGCTGGTAAGATGGTTGAATTTGATCATCCGTATAATTTGTTGAAAAACAAAGATGGGTTTTTGTACAAAATGGTGGATCAAACTGGAAAGGCTACAGCTGATTTGTTGCATAGTGTAGCTGCCGAGGTAATGTATTTTATAATTTTCTTTTTCCATCTGACCGTGTTGAAATGTGTTCATGATATTTAATTTTGACTTTTATGATATTAATTTGTTTATACGAACAGAGCTATAGAACCCAGCAGTTGACTAGAGAATCTCCAATCAAATTAATTGACGAAGATGTAGATGACACTAGTAGGAATAACTAGTTGTTTTTATTTCCAAAGTTATTAATATTAATCACGTGATGCCTTACATAATATATTATATAAAACATATTTTTAATTGTTCTAACTTAAAGTTCACAATATTATGTTTACCATGATAAATGTCCACAATGTCAACATTGCTGTGTTATTTTAAGGAAATTTTATACAACCAATTTATTCTATATATATATATGTTTTAAATTCAAATCAAATTAGTTCTTACGTAGTCAATGTTAGTATTTCCAAAACATGTAGACATTAAATTTTGTTTTATGGTTTATATTGTATACTATAAGGATAAGTAAGTTGTTGTCTGTTAAATTCTATGTGTTTATATTGTTAAAATAAAGATGATCACTTTTGTACTTAAGTGTTGTTTATTTTTATTGTTTCAAGTATTTTCATCAAATATTTACTACATATTATATATTAGTTTTACATTAATCAAAAAAATACTATATCAATTTGTATAGTATGCATTAAGGATATAATGTATAGGTTGTGCAATGAGCATATAATAGCTATCAACAATTTATGTGATAATTTGAAATATATTTTAATGTTCATAGTTTTTATAATTCCCAACTCATAAAAAATACTGACTACCTGCTGTACTCCTAGTTTTTGGCTGTATGAAGTTCCAAAAAAAAAGTCTAAAATAGTAGTATACTTTTATAATAATTTCTATTCTAACATACGAGAAATCCCATTTTAAGTTGTTGTACTTATGGAACTAATGATGCTATTTAAAATTTTAAAATTTAAATACGTTTGTATTTTTAAACAGTGAGATTATTCAGTATAATATGTATGCAAGTAGGATGATTAATCTCAAGTGAATTTCATAATAAATTTAAATATGTTTTCAGATTTCTTATCACATGGTTGAAGCAATGGTCAAAAAGTTAATTTTTTTAGCATACAATATTTTAATATGACTCGTTGACTACATGTGCGTATGTAGAGGTGCCGAAAGTTTGTTTTGCCTATTACAAATGTAGGTGACAATTAGTAAATAAGTAGGTAGTTAAGTGTAATGTAAAGAAAAATAGGAACATATGTGCAGTGGAGTGCCTTGAATGTGGTTGTTGTGCAGTTATGAAATCGTTACTGAAATAATTCGATCTAGATGGGCGCAAGCCTTGGGTTGGATTTAGGTCTTGGTATATTTTTAATTTGGTGTAAGCTACTAGCTCTCTAAACTTTTCTGTTGTTTCTAAAAGCAATCTCCGAGGTTTTCTTCAAAATTAATCTAGTAACTTTTGAATACATACACTGCGAACATACATTTGGTTTTAAATATAGATTCTTTATGCGTGGCCTGATTGCATACCTATTGGTTATTGCCACAATAAATTAAATTAAAAATAATAGGAAAAAAAGTAAAACAAATCAACACACAAGAAAATAAAGTTGTCTATACCTAACCTAACTCCTTAAAAACAGAATATCAAATCCCGCAATAAACAATTTAAAAGCAAAGTACATCATAGACGATTCTTTGGGTGCACTTTGAAATTATGTCAAAAACTATTGTGTTTAAGGCCACTGTAGTTATCATCGGACATTGTGGTGGTTATGCAGTTTTTGTTATAAGGAAAATTAAAAATATTTAAAATGGCAAATATGAAAATTGCCTAAATTCCTCCACACCATGCAAATCCGCCTGCATCGCTCACCAACCACAAAAATGATTTTTACATCCAGATTTCAAAGAAAATCTATTTAGAAATATTTAGAGAAGAGATTTTCATTTACCTTGTATTAAGTGATGGAAAACTTTTTTTATAGACAATACTATCATTTTAGTTTCTGAATGGAGCCTTGAATGTATTGGTTTTTAAATGTTGCAATGAAATTTATTTATTTTCTTGAATTTTAGACATTTTTTTCTATAAATGCCAATAAAAATTTTTTTTTGGTCAAAAAGCTTGATAAATTAATACAAGATTCCTAATAAGTTATTTAACCAATTAAAAAATATTAAACATACATGGGCACGTTTTTTTTTATAAGCATTTGAAGTTAACATTTTATTAAAATCAAGGAAAATAAATGTATACCAAATTTCTAGTTAAAAATTTCTAATTACATTTTTAGAGCTTAGGATTGAACATTTAAGCAAGGTTTCTTAGCATATTAAGTAGTTCACAATGTAATCAATAGTTTTTTAAATGTACATTATAAATTCGGAGTTAAGTGAAATTAGATTTAAACAATAAGAATAAAGAATGGGTTTTTTTGTCACCTATAGTTTAAAATCATTCGTGAATCGAGGCCTGAGACTGTTTAAGTAGGTTTATTATTGTATTTTATACACACAATGACTAATAGTAAAATAAATTACTTCAATAATAATATAAATAGGTATATCATATTATAATATATTTTACTGTCGATAGACCACCTTCGCTCAGAATCGTTTTTCATAGACAATGATACCTAGTAAGCCTGAGGTGGGGTCCCGAGAGCAAACGATTTACTAAAAATTGCAGTTTACCTGCTGACTACTGTTTACTAAAATTTTTGCTCCTATTTGAATTTCACTAACGATCTTTTTTAACTGTTCAATGTTGCGCAGTGTTGGGTGAGAAATATCAGAATAAAAATTAATTATCTTTTATCTTATCTAGATAATTTTTAGGCTCAGTTATATTTATCTTTATTTAGATAAAATTCTAGTTATCTATTCGCACCTATCAAGATATTTTATTTTAATTAACTAAAAAAACAGGATACCACTTTAATACAAAGTACATCAATTATGGTTATAAATATACAATGAATATTTAAAAAAAATTGGTTTTATACTTGAATCAAGCACTGGACGAACTGGACCAATCAGTAAAGTTCCCAGATCAGCTAGATCACAAGTCGCAGAGACCGATCAACACATTTTACTTTTGCAGCACATTCAACTGTAGCAGGGCCGTATTTACAATTTTTGCGCAATGGGTCAACCATAATTTTACGCCCCCCTCCCCAACCAAAAAATAGATTCACTTTTTTGATTTTTCGCAACACATTTTTAGTTATAATTCTTTATGGTTAAGTCATGGTTGTCTATCTACAACCGTGGTTATGTTAAAATAATATTAATTATATTCGATGCTAGGCTCTAGCACTTATCCGTTATCATTGCACTGTTGAGTTCACAAGGGTCGAGTCATAGTACAAATTCTTTCCAAAAAAAAAATATTTATTGATACAATACTACGCTGAGTTACGGGGGGGGGGGGGTCCGGCCGCCCCCTAAATAGATCAATATTTGCCCACCTGGGGCAAATTTCCCCATTGCTCCCCCCTAAATACGGCCCTGAACTGTAGGTATCAATACCCTATACTACCTCGACCATTACTTTAAGTATAGTCAGTGACTTTAGTACAAACCGAGGCCACAACAAACAGCTTATTCTCATTAAAAATACCAAAAAATGTCTTAGACATAATAGGTAATTAATTTATTATAAAATATAAATCACTTGTTAAGCATTCAAATACTCAATGCAAAATGTTTTAAAAAACTAAAATACTTCAAATTTGTCGATTATGGCGGCTACTGATTTTGGTGTAGGTATTGATAATAAGAACCTTCATAGTTGGCTAAAAATAGCATATTATTACGTAATTTCATAGAAACCGTGACGGAGAGGACTACTGCTGATAAACAACCTGAGCGGCTATCATTATAATATTAGTTATTAGTTATTACATTAATTTAATTTTTATCAAATATATTTTTTTATAATTTATTTTATAATTCAGTTATTAAAAATACATTTTACTATTATAACAATTGTATTATTATCCTCTTTTAAATTTTTAGGGCCAGGGGCTAGGGACTGTACTTTAAACTTCTAGGGGAGGTTTAGTCCCTTTTAGCTCCCTCCCGAATTTCGCTTAATGGCTTGATGGCACTAATAAGAACTCATTTTACCGATTTCGAAGGATTTAATGCATTTAATTGCACTAATATAGTACCCTTGTACAGTTGTACCTACCTACCATGTATAATTGTACACAATACAGTCGACTCTCGATAATTCGAAGTTGACAGGACTGTTAAAATAATTTGAATCATCGAGAGTTTGAATCTTTGAGTAAGTACCTAGTTTGAAATAACGAGAGAGCAAAAAAAAAATTTGTTTTTTTTATTTTTGAACACAATTATTAATTATTTCAGCAAATTAGGTGATATATAAATATTAGAGTTATTTATTGTTTTTAAATTGAAAATTTAACTATTTAATAATCAAAATATGTAAATTAAATTACTATTAAAAAAGATTATTATTTTTTGAAGATATATCTGTCATGGTTTCCTGCAAAAAAATTTATTGTGGATTTTGGCTCAACTTTTTTTAAATTTCCATCACCTAACAACTTAAGAGAAATCTTGTATTACCTTTTTAAGTTTTTTGATAAGTGAAAATTTTTTTACAGACACTCATTTAAAAAAACTACCTAATAAACATGTCTTATGCCTATAACCAGCTCAAAATCAGTCGTTAATTAGAGCTATACACTACACCTTACACCTAACACAAAATGTTTGGGTTAGCTGTAAGTGCACACTATGCATGACTCGTCACCATCGAATCCGATTTGGTCTAAACTCTAAATACCATTTTTTTTTGTTTAACTATGACTGCTGCAGTTACACTCAAACCTTTTTTTTTTCGAACACATAATATGATTAGACTATATATTATGACATTGTGTCAATATATTGTTTGCGATCAGAAAAAAATTCCGACATTTTACAATGTAGCCATTGTAAGTGCACCTAGGCCTACGGTGTCCAACAAACGTGTTTGATTTTCTTTCTCACTACGATGTTTATAATTGATCCACTCAACTAACCCCAATGTCGAAATGGTTTGTTAGCCTATAACCAGCTCAAAACCTTACACCTAACACAAAAATTGATTTTATCAAAAACCGTTTGTTAAGGTAATTTTTTTAAATTTGGAAAACTATTTGATTTTCAAATACATTAATGTCCACGAGATTTTTTAAAATACTTGGATTAGATAATTGAATTTTAATTTTTAATGCATTTTCCTAAATAGATTCAATACGTGTATAAATTAATTAATTTGTATGAACAAAACAATTTTTAAACATTGTGACACCTAACTAAATTATAACTTTTTTTTTATTTAATCAGCATAATAAAGATATTAATATTTTATGAAATGACTAGTTTAACTTTTGTTCTCTGGTGTAATACAGATCGGCCTAATAACTAAAAATATTTTATAGAAAAGGGTAAAAAGTATCCATCTATACATTTTATTCGCCCGAGGTACCTTTTTAGCTTAAATAAATCCATTCTTAATAATTATATTATTGTTTCACATTTCATAA